GCAAAGCGGCAGCGCTGCTCAGCTGATCCCTGGCTCAGCTGTGCTGCACTGCTTGCAGCAGAGCTGCGCAGAGCCTGGGGTCAGCTGGGGAGTTCTGGGGAGCTGACCCCAGGTACTGGGGAAATGCTGCACGGAACCCAGAACCTGCAGTCAGCTGGGGAGTCCTCCGCTGACCCCGGGCTCCATGAGCTGGCCCGCGTTCAGCCCAGAGGGACTTCCCCAGCAGGGGCACTTGTACATTTCCAAGGAGGAATGAGGAAGTACCTATCGACTAGTCAGGTAATCTATGGAAATTCCATCGACTACCTGACTAGTACATTAATCGCTAGTTAACATCCTTATCTGGGGCCACACACCAGTGGGGAAAAAAGATCAACTAACCAAAGCAAACAAAGCACACCACGCTGGCTTGCCCCCAGTGGAAAAAAGCAAAAGAAAACACAGCAGGAAAAGAAAAGAAACAAACGTCACTGGCCTGCTCCCCAAGGGAGAAAAAGAGACATGAATACACACTCAGGGTGCTGGGGCTTCCTTGCTCTGGAGCCCCGAAGGGCCAGATCCAGCTCCCTGCTTCCCTTGATCTGACCTGTGGGGAGGCTTAGGCAATTCTTGAAGGGAGGTTCCAAAGAGGATGGAGAGAGGCTGTTCTCAGTGGTGACAGATGCAGAACAAGGAGCAATGGGCTCAAGTTACAATGGGGGAGGTCTAGGTTGGATATTAGGAAAAACTATTTCAGGAGGAGGGTGGGGAAGTGCTGGGCTGGGTTCCCTGGGGAGGGGGTGGAATCTCCATCCCTAGAGGTTTTTAAGTCCCAGCTTGACCAAGCCCTGTCTGGGATGATTGAGTTGGGTTGGTCCTGCTTTGGGCAGGGAGTTGGACTCGGTGACCTCCTGAGATCTCCGCCAGTCCTGGGATTCTGTGATTTCCGGTGCAGACGCCCTCTGGATCTGGTCAGAGGAAGGGTCCAGGGGCAGAGCGTGTTTTCATTGAAAGAGATTGACGGCCTCTTCCGTTCACATGAGCTCTTTGTTGATCTGTGTTTCTGCCTCCGCTACTTGATATTTGCATCACTGGCAGGTTCTGCAGAGTAGGGTTGCCAGGTTGTTTCAACAAACATACCGGACACACTGGACATGGCGTCACAATCTGCATGACCATCTTATGCAGAAAATACTGCACATTTCTATTTTCGCAATTTGTTTCCCGAACAGAAAGCTCAAAGACTGGACTCAAAACCGGACACTTGGCAACCCCGCTGCAGGGCAGGGGCTGCATGTACGTTCGGGGTGTGTACAGCGCTGGGCACGGGGTGGGCACTGGTCCGTGGCTGGGGGGGGGC